GTACAAATGTCAAGGGTTGTATAATAACCAACCTCTCTCTCTCTCTCTCTCTCTCTATATATATATATATATATATATATATATATATAAAGTCTTTATAAGTTAGTTGAAGCCAAAATAATTGCAAATTTATAATAAGATTCCGTTCCCTTAATATTTATATCTCTCGAGCCCATCCACAGCATATACCATGATTTAAGGAACACTTTAATTTGTTTAACACACGCCTGAATTTACACGTCTCACTATTCAACAATAACTTGGTTTTTTTTTATTAATAAAAATCAATTGGTATATTCTTTATCTGTTAGTCTTGAGTCGATATTAATATATATATATTATATTTTATTACACTGGATTCTACAAGGATGCTTATAAACGAGCAGATGCATCTTTAATGTGGATCGATTATGTCTATAAAATAGTTCATATACTTTTAGTTGAATTTTACCGTTTTCACGAATCTTTTCGTTTTGTTGGTTTTTTGATTGACGTCTCTTTTATTTTATAATATTCCCGAATACCGTTCAAAGTTTGATAGGTGAGTCTTTTCATAACCCTAAGAAAAATTTTCACTCAAAAATCGGTTGAATTTCATGTGTTTTCCTTATACAGTTGTATTTTGTATAAGTCAACTTGATTTGTGAATTTTGGTCAAACTTTTGAACATTTACTGTTATAAAACTGGACATGTTAAGTTAAACGCATTTTATTTAGTGTTTAAATTGACACCAATTCAAAAAGAAGTGTGAAACCAAAAAGTAGTTAAGAAAAGAACAATAGAAAAAGAATGAAATAGGTGCTTCCTTTTGGCTTATAATCTCCGTTGTTCTAAAATATGGAGTTATATGTAAGGCCTGCATTTTCAAGAACACAAGATCCAAGAAAGCTCCAAACTTGAGCATTAGAAGATTCTCAACTTCCTCATTAATTAAATCCCACAAAAAACAAACAAATTTTAACACCACCCACTACTACAAATTACAATCTTAGTTTGACCTCTCTTCCCAATACCCGAAAATGGCGACCCAATCACCTGCAAATGTTGAAACCAAGAAGAAGAAGAAGAAGAAAGGAAAGGTGAAATGGAGCAATCTCTACACTTTTTCTTGTTTACGGCCACCACCGCCGGTGAACCGTTCCGATTTCGGCCAGCCTGGGTATTCCAGAGTCGTTTTCTGCAATGATTCAGGAATGCATAAAATGAAGCCTTACAAGTATCCCACCAATGATGTTTCTACAACTAAGTATAATGTTGTGACATTTCTTCCCAAATCGCTTTTCGAGCAGTTTCGTAGGGTGGCGAATCTGTATTTCTTGTTAGTTGCAGTCTTATCGGTTACTTCTTTAGCTCCTTTCTCTCCTCTCAGCTTGATTGCTCCTCTGGTTTTTGTGGTTGGAATCAGTATGCTCAAAGAGGGTGTGGAGGATTGGCATCGATTTTTGCAAGTATGACACGTAACGAAACTATTCTGGTTTTGCTTTCGGACTTAGCATTACTGACTCCAGCACCTTTCAGAAAACAAACAGTATTAAGTGTTTTTTTTTTCTTATTTTTTTGTGTTTTCAGGATTTGGAGGTGAATTCGAGGAAGGTGAAGGTTCATATTGGGAATGGAATGTTTGTTGATAGATCATGGAAGGTGCTTCGAGTTGGAGATGTTGTGAAGGTGAGTAAGAACGAGTATTTCCCTTGTGATCTTTTGCTATTATCTTCAAGCTATGAAGATGGTGTTTGTTATGTTGAAACGATGAATTTAGATGGAGAAACCAATCTCAAAATCAAACGTTGTTTGGAATGCACTCTGGGTTTTGATGAAGAACTGAAATTTGACAAGTTTAAAGCGACGATTCGATGCGAAGATCCCAATTCGAGTCTGTATACTTTCGTTGCCAATTTGGAGTTTGGAGATGAAGATCAGTTGGATTGTTCATATCCTTTATCTCCTTCTCAGCTTCTCCTTCGAGATTCAAAGCTTCAAAATACGGATTATGTGTATGGAGTTGTGATTTTTACTGGACGAGATACGAAAGTGGTTCGAAATTCGATGAAATCGCCATCTAAACGTAGCAGGGTAGAGAGAAAGATGGACCATGTGATTTATGTTCTGTTCTTCATGTTGCTTTTGATCTCTGTGATCACCTCCATTGGTTCTGCTCGATATACAGATCAACCGCAAACAGCTAAAGAATGGTGGTACCTTCAATTGCTGGATGATACAGATGGGTCTTTTGATCCAGATAAACCACTGATTTCTGGGTTCCTTCAGTTCTTGAGGGCACTCATCTTGTATGGCTATTTGATCCCAATTTCTCTTTATGTCTCCATTGAAGTAGTCAAGTTCTTACAAGCAATGCTCATAAACAATGACCTCCAGCTGTTCGATGAAATGTCTGGGAAGTCGGTCGAATCTCGGACATCAAATTTGAACGAGGAACTCGGTCAGGTTGAGATGATTTTGTCAGACAAAACCGGGACTTTGACTTGTAATCAAATGGAGTTCAGGAAATGCTCGATTGAAGGAATTACTTATGGAGGTGATGTAAATGAGATAGTTCGTGCGGCTTCTCAGCGAATGAATATCGATATTGAGAGCTACCGGTTTAATCTAGATGGTGCAGATTCTACTCCTCGTGATAGCATCGAGATGGTCGAGATTTCTTCTGATCAAAATAAGATCGATTTGAATACTGAAAAGGGTATACAGAATCTTGGTGTTACTGCTATAAAAGGTTTCAATTTCATAGATGATAGATTGATGAACAAAAGGTGGCTTCATGGATCAAATGTATGGGATATGATAATGTTCTTCAGAGTTATGGCTTTATGTCATACAGGCATACCGGTTGAAAACTGTGAAGGAACAACCAGCCATAAACTCAAATATGAAGCAGAGTCCCCTGAAGAAGTGACATTCTTGATAGCAGCCCAAGAGTTTGGATTTCAATTTTGTAGAAGAACTCAGTCTTCAATGTTTGTGAAAGAGATTGATCCTTCTGGCTTGGAGGTCGAAAGGTCAATGCTTTTTTCCGAATCTTTGTTTATCATCTTAAACGTAAAATTCTGTTAAGAGTGCCACATCGGCTAGACTTGGATCATTTGGACCATTTTCCTCTTAATGTGTTGGAACATCCATTCTATTCGCAAGGGTTCTTTTGGAGAGTAATCTAATGGTGTATTCCACATATTCTCACATGGTATCAAAGCTAAGTTCTACCACTTTTGGGCAATCTGTTTAGCCTCTGTTGGAGGAGGCGTGTTAGAGTCCTAGATGACCATTTCTCCTTGATATACGTTGGAAGTTGGAACCTCTCGTTCTATGCTTAAAGGCTCTTTTGAAGAGTAATCTAATAGGTTCCATATTCTCACATTTCTATGGTTGAAATTTCAGGGAATACAAGCTATTGAATTTATTAGAATTCAGTAGTTCTAGGAAGAGGATGTCGGTGATAGTTCGCGATGAAGTTGGTCAGATTTTCCTAGTCTGTAAAGGCGCTGACAAGTAAGTTTCTTGATTGTCCGATTAAATTGTCTGAATTGAAACACATTTTGTTACAGAGGAAACATTTACTTTTTGCATCTTTATGAAGCTTCTTATGGTAGAATTTTTAGATTTTGTGATTAAAGATTCAATCTATCGAACACATCCTGTGTAATATAAACTGGGAATTGCTTGTATTCTGCAGCATAATCTTCGATAGGCTAGGTGATGGTGGAAGGACGTACCAACATGCTACAACGATCCATCTTGCAAACTATGCGGAAGATGGGCTGAGGACAATGGTGTTTGCCTATCGAAAAATTGAAGACTCCGAATATGAAAAGTGGAGCTCAACGTTCACGAAAGCTAAGGCGACAATTGGGCATGAAAGAGAGGAGTTGCTAGAGAACGTATCTGAAACCATCGAGAAAGATTTGGTGTTGTTAGGTGCCGTAGCTGTTGATGATAAGTTACAAGATGGGGTAAAATCTCTCTATCTCCCATCTCTGTTTTTAGAGTCCCATATCGGCTACACTTTGATTTATCGTCTTCAATATACGTTGGAACCTCCTTTTATCTCCTAAAAGTTTCTTCTGGAAGTAACCTAAAGAGGTTCCACATATTCATACATGATATTAGAGCCAAAAAATTTACCATTTTTAGGATCTCGACCTTTAGGACAACCTGTACCCGTCTAGCCTCCATTGAGGTTCTACATATTCTCACATCTATAAACATCAATATCAGGTTGCAGAATGCATAGATAAACTTGCACAAGCTGGACTCAGGATATGGCTCCTCACTGGTGACAAGGAGGAGACCGCTGTGAATATTGGGTGAGAATTTGTAAAAATGGCCTCATCAACGAGATTATTGTTTTCAAAGTTCCAAAAGATTTCTCATCTTTTCGCAATTTTTTTGGTCAGATTTGCTTGCAGTTTGCTTAGGCATGATATGAAGCAGTTCCATTTGAGTTTGAGCAGGGATGCTGAATCGAAAAACCAATTGAAGGTGAATATCATGCACTCGGCTTGAGTCGGTTTATTCAGCTTGATATGATAGCGAAAACTAACAGATGATTTATATAGCCAGAGAAATCTGAGTTAGGGGTAATGAGTAAACGTTTTGTAGCTTTTCAGGCTATGAAAGATGACATATTAAACCAAATCGAGGCTTCTTATCAAGTGACAGCAAACGAAAAAACCAAGGATGATCCTTTCGCTCTCGTGGTGGATGGGAAAGCGCTTGAAATTGCTTTGACGAATGACATAAGAGACCGTTTCTTGCAGTTGGCAGTCAACTGCGCATCTGTTATATGTTGTCGTGTTTCTCCAAAACAGAAAGCTTTGGTAAGCTACATTCATACTAAACAACAATCAGAAACCAAACCGCATGTCATCTAACTTTGCGTCTTCTGTGCAAACTTAGATTACTCGATTAGTGAAGAAATATACAGGCAAGATGACATTGGCGATTGGAGATGGAGCGAATGATGTCGGCATGATTCAAGAAGCTGATATCGGAATTGGAATTAGTGGCATGGAAGGAATGCAGGTATATATGATACAAGATAGACTGTTTTATATCACTTAAGTTTACATGACCACACAATTATGTGTCATATGTATACGTAAGAATGTTATATAAGTTGATAGAACGTTTTTGGATGTCCTAACAATTTTCTAGGACGCTTTTGAAATAAAATATTCTATAGGACACCTTTGAGAAATTTTCTATGAACACAATTTTTATTAAACACTTGTTTTATAAGACATTTAATATCATATAAAATGATTAATATGACGTCTTATTTCATAATGTCATAATTAAGAAACTTGTTCGCCCAAAAGCATCTTTATCAATTTATTGTAATTACTTTACATGTGATAGCACAATTTTTTGGTCCTATATAGTGTTATGAACAGGTGTATTAGAATATTTAGACATATTTGACGTCTTATAAAGCTGATAGTAGTTGGGATGTTTGACGAAGAACCGATGCTTCTTTCATTTTTGACACCATAATGTTCGATGTTTACTTGCAGGCTGTCATGGCAAGTGACTTCTCTATGCCTCAATTTCGGTTCTTGGAACGGCTACTAATAGTGCACGGCCACTGGTGTTACAAGAGAATCTCCAAGATGGTAGACACGATTTTCGTTTTGAATCTGAAAGTTAATATGGGTATAAGAGTATGATTGCTTACTTTCTAAATCGTTCATTTGCTGCAGATTCTCTATTTTGTATACAAGAACATCGTATTCGGCCTCACCTTATTCTACTATGAACTCTACTCCAAATTCTCCGGAGATGTCTTGTATGACGGATGGTATATGGTTGTGTTCAATCTATTTCTAACATCCCTGCCCGTTATATCATTAGGCGTCCTCGAGCAAGATGTTTCTTCCGATATTTGCCTTCAGGTATATTTCCATAAATACTTTCTGACAGATTTTTTTTAGATGCATCAGATTTTGAGGCTTTCTTGTTAGCAAGTGTCGATGTTCTTCTGTTAAGACAACTTTTAAAATCTTTGAAGGTCATGCATTTAAAAAAAAAATAGTTGTAAGAAGGTCATTATGTTAAATAACCCCAAATACTCGTTTCTAATTGCTGAAATGACCAACTTACCATTGTACTTTCCCCACTCCACAGTTTCCGGCCCTTTATCAACAGGGACAAAAGGGTATTTTCTTTAGTTGGAAGCGAATCATCGGTTGGATGGTAAATGGGATACTTACATCTCTAGCAATATTCATCCTAAACGTCTACATTCTCTCTTTCTCCGCATTCCGGCAAGGAGGAGAAGTCGTAGATATCGCACATTTAGGTGTAACTACATACACAGCTGTCGTGTGGACCGTTAACTGTCAAATTGCGCTAATCATCACTCATTTCACTTGGATACAACATTTCTTCATCTGGGGAAGCATCTTGTGTTGGTACATCTTCTTACTCTTCTATGGTGCACTTCCGCCAAAATACTCTAATCGAGAATTCCGACTCCTGGTGGAAGCGGTGGGGCCGGCACCCGTGTACTGGATTGTCGTGTTGTTAGTTGTAGTCGTTTCTCTCCTTCCGTACTTCATTTACATGGTCATCCAACGGTTGTTTTATCCTATGGATGACCATGTGATCCAGGAAATGAAATACGGAAGGAAAATCGTTGCAGACGATGAGACGTGGTTGAGAGAGAAGCAAAGCTCGAGGAAGGCAACCCATATCGGTTTTTCGGCTAGAGTCGATGCGAAAATCCTTCATTTGAAGGATCAACTACACAAGAAACGAATGTTTATTATTAAGTCTTTTACAAATAGTCCGATTCGTAAATCAATAAGCAGTAGCTCATAGTTAGAAAATGGAGATCGAAATCACCAAAGTGGATTGTTGCACATGGTGATTTTATACACACTTGTTTCAAAAGGCATTATTATATAGAGTATATTTATACACACCGAGAAGGATTGTTGGAAAATTACTTGATCCATTTCCATCAAGAATTGGATGGAATTTTCTCGTGGAAAAATTAACAGACACATTAATTAATTAGTGTATATTTTAGTATTAATTACATGAAATATATATAGTAATTAAAGAAGAACTCAATAATATAAACATCATATTAATTTGGTTTACCGCACATTTCTTCTATAATGGTGATCATTTGAGGGCTTGTACGATTCACATTTGGGCTAGGCCTGATCTATATTTTGTCAAACGGGCCTAATACAATAAAACCAGACATTTTCATCGCGGGCTTGATATATATATATATATATATATATATATATATACATGTATATGTTGTCTTTATCCATCCTATAATATATACATTGGTTTATCATATATTCATAGGCCTAAATGTCTATGGTGAAACCCAAGATCTTAATGATCACCTCATGCACTCGATTAATTATTTTCTTCTGCAATTTCTGATTAGGATCAACCCTATAAGCATTTGTGCACACGTATTCATCTTATGGACCGTTTTTACTAGACAGTTATCTGTTAAATGTTTATTTGGGTCATTTCATATTTTATCGGATGAATATGATAATGCATGAGAATTTTACCCGGTAAGAGCGATAACAAGGACCTAGAGTTTTACCCTCGATAAACGTTTACATGATAAAAATATTGCATACAACGCCGTTTTAATAAACTAAAATCTTACTCGATAAATTAAGTGAATGTGTTGACTTTTACTCGTAAACGTTTATCGTTGGTAAACGGCCTCTTAGTTATATTCACTTGTCCGATTATAAGTTGTAAAACAAATTCTACCAAGAGCTTTTTGTAATTAAATCCATAATAAATGGTTCTCCTGATCGATCATCATTGTAATATTTGTGTGCCTACTAACAGTACTGGATTGAGGACACATATAACTAAAACCATATTCCTTAATCTGCAGGTTCATCACAAGTAGCAAAAGAATTGCACATCTAGCCACTATAAAAACACAAAGACCCATTTGGTGTAAGCTAATATAGAGCCTCAAGCCCAGAAAGAGAACGGAAGGAAGGAAACTACGGGACGGCGATGATCTCATAAGATTTGGAAGTGTATTCCGTTTTACGTACTATGACACGTTTGGTTTAAAGAAAAGTCATAATCGAAAGGAATTCCCAAAAAAATTGGATTTAGAAATCTCAAGATATTTCATAGAATATATTTTTGATAATGTTTTAAAATATGTTACAAATATTCATTTTGTAATGATCAATTAATAAAAGATAATTTAATTATAATTTGTCTTCTTAACGTACCTATAATATATATATAGATATATAGAATCCAATTCCATTCAAAATCCTACAAAATTAAACACACCAAATATTTCACATATGATAAAACACTTTTTAACTAATGTTATGTCCTATTGAACCAATCATATCATTAAGATATCATCAAATCCATCTATTAAGAAGGCATGGAGGTCAAGAGGAAACCCTGAAGCTAAATAACGACACTAAAATCATTGTTATGAAAATGACGTAGATTTGTAAAAGATCACAACCAAGACGTACGTGATTTTATTCACCAATAAACATAAGATAGCTCATAAAATGTATAAAATCAATATAAATGAAGGTACTTTGATTATAAACAACGGTCCAAGAATGTATTTATCATTTACACTTGACGCCACAAAATAATCACTGTAATATAATAAAATGAAATAAAAGTTAATGAGAAAAAGTAAATAACAAAATGAGAACAAAAAAGATGACAGTTTCATATGTGATCCCTTAATAGCTAATTGTTGTATGCATTGTTAAGCTACTTGACCTAATTGAAGCTATATATCCCATCATGAGGATAGTAAATTATATATATATATATATATATATATTAATGATTCATCTAACAGAAACAAAAACCCAACATTGGCTAAGAATAACACAACAAAAGAAACAACATAAGCTTGATGTTAGAATGCATGTACATGTCAACAACAACCATTATGACTTTCCATCTGTAGTTTAATTACTTGAAGATTAGTTGCAAGTCAAAGTTTAAGAAACAAACATAATCGGTGAAACGAACATAATTGGTGTAACTTTCCATCTGCTTCTCAGCGAAACAAAAAGCTCTCCATAATCTTGTATCGAAATCAAAGACATAGCATAAAAAAGTAAACCTTCCACATATACAATATTAGATCAAAGTAGTCTAAGTTTTCAAAATAAAGCTGATACCTGTAAAACAAAATCTTGCCAATATATGATACCCTAATTATGGGGATCCAAATGAAAAGCATAAAATCTACATAAACACAAATTAAAAATGAAAAGAAAATAATAAAAGAGAAAGGGGGGAGGACCATTCTACATAACGTGTACTAGTCCTAGAATGATGTCCGTTTTCCATGGATTTTTAGCACAATAAACTATGAAAGGTCACGCTTTATGCTTGTCCATGTTCCTAACCAAATTAAAGTAATATATTATAATATTTGATGAAGTAAATTAGTTTCATTTATGTTTGAATTAATTTGGTCATAGTAATAATATACAATTGTCATGATGTGCATACATCATATTCTCAGCTGTGTGCAATTTCACCAACCATTCCATCCTTAGATTTGAGAGAATATAACAGAACTAGTCGATCCTAGCTTCATTCCTTAAAAAGAAAATAAAAAACACAGAGATCACACAGAGACAAACAAAATAGTTCAAAAAAGAGTATATGGAAGAGGATGTGGGAGGGAGAAGGAGTTGACAGATAGATCATGAGCACACAAAGCAATCATATAACTTACTTGATACTATTTGCCTTTGTGTGCTCACTCTCTTCTGTCAACCAGCTCTATCACCACCACAAGTACCTTACGAAATATATGGTATAACAAATCACATGAAATAAAAAAGGGTATGCTTTTTCAGTCAGATCTGATGAGAACACACTGAAAAAGAAGAAGAAACCGGCCACAAGAATGATCAGCGTTTTTCAGCAAGTATAAGAAAAAAGAACAGAGAACCGAAACATGAAAAAAATTGAACATTTCAGGTATTTCTCTCTCACTCTCAGGTAGGTGTCTGATAATTAATTAGATATGAGTAAGTCATGCTCTCTCTCTCTCTCTCTCTAGCAAGCAGGGAAACAAGAAGTGTATTTGACAGGATCTGAACGATAGAACATTACCAATGACCACCAGATTGATTTCAGAGCTAGAGAGACGTGTTTTTTTTGAGAGAGAGAGAGAGAGAGGTGAGGGTGGTTGGTTAATTAGGGTTTGGGAAGCAATGGATGAGACTTCATATTAATGAATGGTTTTAAGTGGCTTTAGGTTTATTTTCGATATTCTTTTAGTGTTTTCTAGGTTTAATAAACAAACCCACCTCTCACTTAATTTGTTATATAGGAAAATCAGAATCATAAGGACATACAATATGAATACACCATTAGTTGAATAGTGGTCCATGCCCTGGACTTCCCAGCTGCCCCACTAGTTCACTCAGGAGACACAAATCAAGAAGCCAACAATAACAAATGGAAGAATTGCTTAATTTAATTTAATGTTTGCTAATAATTTAATGTTTGATAGTAAAAGATAAAAATTAAAAAAAAATACAAATAAAGATATACATATTATTATATTTAAGTCTCATGTAAATATATAAATATATAAATAAGAAATAAAGAAAATTGAGTGTAACTAAAGAAGATTAATAGTCTAATTAATTTAATGTTTGCTAATAATTACATCAATAAAAAAGACAATAATTGAGAAAAATATAAATATTATTGTGTTCAAGTCTCATGTAAATATATATATATATATATATATATAAAATATTCATGTAAATAAAAATACACATATATTAATCGTAATTTCATTTATATAAATGAGTTTACAGATATTTTGATTATATATATTGAATACACACATACATACATATGTATCTGTGTGTGTGTTCAATTATTGTTATATAAATAACAAATAGAGTCATATGAGATAAACGAAAAAAAAAAAACAAGTATTTGGTGTAACCAATGAAAATGAATAGTCTAATTAATTTAATGTTTTGATAATAATTACATCAATAAAATAAAAAAAGCAAAGTTTGAGAAAAAGAAAATTAGTATTGCGATGCCTAAAAATGTCACCTTATTGTTGGTGTTTTTTCTTACAAAATTACAAATTAAGAAACTATAAAAAAACATAAGTGAATCCACAACAAAAAGAAAAATAATCAAAATTCTCACAAAATTCTAAAGCCTCAATGGAGACTTCTCCTTAATCCATGTTCCAATGTCTTCTTACATATATTGATAAACTTGTGTATGTTCTTCTGTCATAGATAAGAGATGAAAAAGAAGAGGGGAAAACGTATCAATAGTTTATAACTCGTACATGGAAATGGAGAACACATAAATGAAAAAACCCAGAGATTAAGGGATTTAGAGAAAAACCAGGGATTGAGTGATTTAAATGTTAGAGTTGAAACGTATCAAAAGAAGGAGAATGGTTTTTGAGTTAATGTGAACATTAATTTGCAAAATTACTAAAAAAATCAAAATGTGGAAAAAAGATGAAAATAGGATCTCTACGTCGAAGAGATGCCACGTCAGCATATCGTATCATGATTTTGCTTTATAGATATATATAGATATAGATATATAGATTAGATGTGAGCTTAGATACAACTTTCAATAATATTACAAAACTGTCACCATGTTTGATGACCTTTGATTAAAACCCTTTAATGATTGAGATTAGTCCTCACGGTCCTCAACCTTTTTACTATTTTTATTTGATTACCTTCTTATATATATAGTGACATCTTCAAATACAACCAACTCAAAAAAATACAACCAATGCTACTCAATATATGTCGTCCTTTTTTTTTATTTTTTATTTTTATCAATGATTGAGATTTTTCTGGTTTTTAATTGATTTATGAAATAGGAGAAAAAGTAGTTTTGGAATAGATTTTAATTATTTTAAATTTAAAATTTTTGGTTATTATTTCTATATTTTTCTCCCCCAATCTCCATTACACACTCTCTCCCTCTCTTTCTGGATTTGGGTAAACCATCGGCACCCCATAGCTTCATCGTCGGTAGAACCATGTCCAACTCCATCGCCGATAAAAACGTCTCCTAGATCTATTGCACTTCCGTAACCATCGGCCACCTCCATCCCTAAGTTCGTTGGGTTTCCAAACCCGTCCCTGAAATCGTCCCTAAACCATAACGGAAGCTTTCATCTCTCAGAGCGTGGCTTCGTTTTTTGAAAATCGAGCCAGATCTCAAACCATAGAAAAACCGTAAAAGAACCGATCCACACATTTTAATCCAAATTAAAAAGAAAAAATAACAAACTGAAAAATAAATTCAACGAACGTGATGCAATAAAAGGTTTCTACAACATCAATCAGAAAAGGAATCAATCAAAAAAAAGTCAAACAAATTCAAGCAATTAACACTTGCAGTAGCAGCCTCAACAATCAAATCATTGGAACTCATAAGAAAGGATAATATATTGATGAAATTTTACACTTTTTTGAGTTTAAATAGCAATTATAACATGCATTTTTTGCCATCTGTCATATAACTTGTAACAATTATTCCAAAAATCCTAAGATGAGAGAAAACAAGTTCTAAACCATATACTATATATTTCATAAGGACACATAATAAATTCACTTGTACTTCATTTATTTACTTTTAAAAAATTTATGGAAAATATTTATATTTAAAAATAATGGTTATAACCACTTTTTTTAATCATATCCATCACATTATCTCAATCTCTTAAATATATATACATGTGATTTGATTAAGTTCTGAATAATCAAGAATGCCATCTCCTTTTTTATTTTTACCAAAAAAAAATACGAACTAAAATTATTTATCTCACTTGATTATTAGTTAATGAGAGGTTAGAAATATATCTTCATTTGACAGAAAGAGAATAAGCGTTCATTTGATCTTGATCCTTGTGGATTGAAAAGGGGCCTAGACCGGATCTCAAAGCTCCCCTAATAATATCCATAAATGACTTGTTTTTTTTATAAGAGATGGATATTATCATATGTAAATTCAGGTGCATGACACAATGCATTTCACTCTCAGAATAAATATGTTTTATATATATACATATACTATATATACATATTCGAGAGGTAAAGAAGAACAATTGATTTGGGGTAGTTCACGAACTACGTGATAAAAGAAATTGGCTGTAAGATAGTAACTTAGAGAGAGCAGCCTACGAAATTCCTTCTTCGGTTACTCCAAAGTACTTAACCGAGTAAATTAGAATTAGAAGCATTGTATATAATTAAGAGACCAACTACAAACGGCATAAATGCAGAGTACATATTTCTATCCAAAGATCAGGAATGTACCAAGTTTAACTTTTCAGTATGATACTGGTTGGAGCATGTTCGTTATCTTTTAAGAGCAAGTCATCACAGAGAAATAAAGACACATCCCAGCAATAACTCTGGAATCCCCAATCACTAAGTTCAAAGACTATATATAGATACCATTGGACCAAAGATTATTGCTAGACTTTTGGGTATCCCTTTGGATGAAAAGTTTCAACCACCTGTAATCATAATTTTAAGAAAATTATGACAAAGATAAGGCTTATAGTGGTGCAATCATAAGAAAATCAGAAAAACACACACACACATATATATATATATATATATATATATATATATATTAAAGAACAAGAGCAACATCATCAAACACATGTGAATTATGTCACAAAACTAAATGAAGTGTGGTTGTGATACTAAAGTAGAATGTCATGTCAACCGACAAAATAAATTAGGTTGGGGTCAATAAGTTCATTTCAAGTCCAGTAGGTTAAAATTCAAGAAACAAACCCTGATTCTTTTGTTTTCTTTTCTCCGCTCAAAAAATATTGATTCAGACGAAATTAGTAATCTTCAACAACGAAAGATATCAAAGAAACAGGTAGTGGAATTCCATAAATCTATCGACTTTCCAGAATAAAAACAGAAACTATGTGACATACCTTAATTAATACTAATAGTAGGGAAAGATCCAAATCAAGATGCAAAAATACAGTCAAGACCCATATTTTCTTGCTGCAATATGCATGCGCAAAGAAAAATAAAAGGTAGGGAGGACCATCCTAATATAAAGTTAATAATCATATAGAAATTAATGTCAGTTTTCCGTTAATTTAGCACAGTAACTATGAAAAGACACGCTATGAACGTAGTAATTTAAACCCTACCCCTAAATAATTACTATAATATTATTTTTTAAATTGGGATTCAACAAATTTGAAATAATAATACCATGATTAGTAATGAAAAATTTCCACCATCTTCTCTTCTGTGTCTTCAACCACCTCCATACTTAAACTTTGCTCGATCCAAAACCCAGGCCAGGATCGACACACAGTAAAACCAGTAATATATATATGTATATATATATATATATATTCTTGATCCAAAACCCAATCAGGATCGAGTGATCTCATAATATAGGAAGAACAAAAGAAAAAACCTAAGGCACCATATCCAATATAGAGATAGAAAAGTACAGAAATAGAGTGAGAAAGAGGACATGGGAGAGAATAGGTAAAAAAGAAGCTGATAGATAGATCATGAGCACCCAAAACAATCATACAACACAATTTGGTACAATTTGCCTTTGTGTGCTCACTCTCTTCTGTCAGCTCTATAAATCATCCCCACAAGTACTTCTCAAAAATGGCAAGAAACCATAAAAGGAAAAAAAAAGGACTGTTTTTAAGTCAGATCTGAGAACATGCACAAACATCTCAACAAAAAAAGAACATCTTCCTTTCAGTACTAAAAAAGAACATCTTCCTCTCTCGTGATCTGGTTTAAGGGTTAGGATTTGATGTAGTTTTGGGACGATGGGTCTGCTGAAAAAGAAAGCAAAAACATGTGACGGTGGCCGGTGATGTTCTGAACAGAACCGACGACCACCACATGATGATGTTATAGACAGAGAGGTTGGCGGTGACAGGATTGGAGATGGGATGGGGTGTGATTGCATTTACACTAATGAACAGTTTTCCCTGTGGCTTTTGATTTCTTATCGGTTTCTTGCTTTTGGCGTTTTCTATTCTAGGTCTAAATAATTTCTCTCTTTTATATTCATCTCCTACGTTGGACTTTGAAGCAGCCCGCTCTCAAAATGTCTTTATGATTCTTCTATACCTAATTATTTTATGGATAGGGTTTGCGTTTTATTGATTTTTTTTATTAACTGGGTTGACTAATTCTAAGATAATCATCGATAGCTTGAAGTCGTCCCATTTAAATTATATGTAAATTTTTGTTTTTCCTTGAATTTGAACCTAGGACTTCCATATACTTTTGACCTTTGAAACTCAAGCTTAAATCAATCAAATAACACTTATTTTCAAACCAACCAAAAAAAGATTATTAATTAATACCAAAAGTATTATGCATCCTAAAACAACTTTGAGATGAAATCATATAACCTTTCAAGTTACAACAAAAAAATTTAAGGTCTTATCATATCATATCATATCATATAATAGATGAAAAAACATTACCTTTCATTTTGACGTCTTATAAAGTTGATAGTTGTTGAGATGTTTGACGAAGAACCGATGCTTCTTTCATTTTTGACACCATAATGTTTGATGTTTACTTGCAGGCTGTCATGGCAAGTGACTTCTCTATGCCTCAATTTCGGTTCTTGGAACGACTACTAATAGTGCACGGCCACTGGTGTTACAAGAGAATCTCCAAGATGGTAGATACGATTTTCGTTTTGAATTTGAAGGTTAATATTTTTGGGTATAAGAGTATGATCGCTTACTTTCTAAATCATTCATTTGCTGCAGATTCTCTATTTTGTATACACGAACATTGTATTCGGCCTCACCTTATTCTACTATGAGCTCTACTCCAAATTCTCCGGAGATGTCTTGTATGACGGATGGTATGGTTATGTTCAATCTATTTCTAACATCCCTGCCCGTTATATCATTAGGTGTCCTCGAGCAAGATGTTTCTTTCGATATTTGCCTTCAGGTATATTTCCATAAATACTTTCTGACAGATTTTTTTAGATGCATCAGATTTTGAGGCTTTCTTGTTAGCAAGTGTCGATATTCTTCTGTTAGGACAACTTTTTAAAATCTTTGAAGGTCTTGCATTAAAAAAAATAGTTGTAAGAAGGTCATTATGTTAAATAACCCCAAATACTTGTTTCTAATTGCTGAAATGACCAACTTACCATTGTACTTTCCCCACTCCACAGTTTCCGGCCCTTTATCAACGGGGACAAAAGGGTATTTTATTTAGTTGGAAGCGAATCATCGGTTGGATGGGAAACGGGATACTTACATCTCTAGCGATATTCATCCTAAACGTCTACATTCTCTCTTTCTCGGTATTCCGACAAGGAGGAGAAGTCGTAGATATCGCACATTTAGGTGTAACTACATACACAGCCGTCGTGTGGACCGTTAACTGTCAAATTGCGCTAATCATCACTCATTTCACTTGGATACAACATTTCTTCATCTGGGAAAGCATCTTGTGTTGGTACATCTTCTTACTCTTCTATGGTGCACTTCCGCCAAAATACTCTAATAGAGAATTCCGACTCCTCGTGGAAGCCGTGGGGCCGGCACCCGTGTACTGGATTGTCGTGTTGTTAGTTGTAGTCATTTCTCTGCTTTCGTACTTCATTTACATGGTCATCCAACGGTCGTTTTATCCTATGGATGACCATGTGATCCAGGAAATGAAATACAGAGGGAAAACCGTTGTAGACGATGAGATGTGGTTGAGAGAGAAGCAAAGCTCGAGGAAGGCAACCCATATCGGTTTCTCGGCTAGAGTCGATGCGAAAATCCTTCATTTGAAGGATCAACTACACAAGAAACGAATGTTTGTTATTAAGTCTTTTACAAATAGTCCGATTCGTAGATCAATAAGCAGTAGCTCATAGTTAGAAAATGGAGATCGAAATCACCAAAGTGGATTGTTGCACATGGTGATTTGTTTCAAAAGGCATTATTATATAGAGTATATTTATACACACTGAGAAATTTAAAAAGATTGTTGGAAAATTACTTGATCCATTTCCGGATCGACTTTTCTCGTATTTCAATCGAAAAATCTAAGAGAGACATTAATTAGTGTATTTTAGTATTACATGAAATATAGTAAAAAAGAACTCAATAATAAACATCATATTAATTTGGTTTACCGCACATTTCTTCTATAACGGTGATCATTTGAGGGCTTGTACGAGCCACATTTGGGATAGGCCTGATCTATACTTTGTCAAACGGGCCTAATACAATAAAACCAGACATTTTCACCGCGGGCTTAATGTGTGTGTATATATATATATATATATATATATATATAGGGGCCTAATCAAATGAGAACTAATTAGTTTATGGTAACTGTGAGAACCAATATTAATCACAAATCAATATATAAATTAGGAAATTTAAAATTTTGACAATTTTGAATTAAAATATTAATGCAAGGATATTTTTGGTATTTTAAAA